AAAAAAAAAAAGACCACTTCAGATGGCTAGGAACAGAAATTTTGCACTGAATGAGGGTGCTTGCTATCATTTTGGCAAATACACAGTGATGATAAGACTAGAGAAATTAAGCAGTTTGAACATGTCCACATACTAACTTTAGAGGAAAATGTAGACTTCCTTAATGTCATGCACTATTCTTCTGAATGTGACAGTTTATTAGCATAGATAAAATACACACTTTGGCTAGCAATTTTGCACAATAAGGTATATACACTGTTACAGCAATTGAAAAGATTTCAGTATTCTGTATTTTTAAAGAGCTTGATTTTTAAGCCCCTTTTATGAATCTATCCCAAGGAAATAGCCTAAAATGAAAATTGTACACAAGACAACATGCACTACCATAGTCTTTGGAATACTGCAGCACTGAAAATAATCTATGTGTCCAACAAGGCAAAGCAGTAAAATATGATGGACCAATAAACATTGAAACTATGTTTAAAATCACAGAGAAAGCTAAAAATGTAGCTCAGTGGTACAGGTCTTGCTCAGTATGTGTGAGGACTTGAGTTCAGTCAGTAGCACTACAGGGCTAGATAGCTCAGTGACATAAGTGCCTGCCTGGCAAGCACAAGGTCCTGAGTTTGATCCCTGTAATGGCAAAAAAAAAAAAAAAAAAAGAAAAGAAAGAAAGAAAGAAAGAAAGAAAGAAAGAAAGAATTGGGATTATCATTGCAAAAAGAGAATGCAAAGGAACTCAGAATATATTTCATTTTTCTCATTAAAAGGGGGTAATTTGGCAAGCAGAATGATACTTTTATCCTAATTGCTACTAACTAAAAAGTAAACATATATGGACAAAATCAAGATGATAAAATAGAGAACCAAAGTAATTTTAAGAGTATTAACATTAGCGGTGCCTTGGACTGGCGAGATACCTCAGTGGACTAAAGTGTCTGCTTAGACAAGCTTAGGCAAGTACAGGGACCGTAGTTCCATCCCTGGTACCACATGCCACACCAGCACAGCCCCCAGGTCAAGCCGAGCTGACCAGAGTCCAGGCGTGGTGGTGCACACCTGTAATCCCAGCACTGGGGAGGCTGAAAGCAGGAGGAGACCCTGCAACAACCAAATACATTAAAAAATAATAAATAAATACATAAATTTTTCTGAGTTCTCTCAAAAACACTGATACAATAAAGAATTTTCTGAATAAACTGGTTTCTTTAGTGGTACTGAAAGGTTTCATGTATCATGATAAAGGGTAATAAAATGAGAACTAGGACGTTGAAACTTGGTCTTGCATCAGCCCTCACCCTCTCTGTACTTTGATGCTGCTGGAGAAAAGCTGCCACACAGACAGTCTCTGGTGGAGGATGCCCATCTGCAGACACTTGGTCCCTTATATAAAACAATGCGCTATCGGCATAGCCTACAGGCATTCTGGCATGTACTTTATGTCATCTCTGGCCCCTGAATCTGTGGCTCTCCATGCAGCTTCACCTCCAGAACCTCCACCTCCTCCTCATCCGGGTGCTCATGCTGCTCCTACTAGCAGCACTGGAGCCAGCAGCCTGCTGGCCTCTCTGTCTCTGGTCCCTTTCTTTCCTGGTTTTGCAGTTTCTTGTATCTGCCTTGTGCTCTGAGGCCTATCCCTTTAAGCCACCCTTCAGCAAGGACTGTAATATCTTGAACCTTTACCATTTCAATTCACCTGCCCTGGAACCCCCAAAAGTTGGTACAATCTGTCATCTGCCCTCCTGGATCCTCAGTTGCTGGACTCTCTATACAGAGATGTGGGGTTCCTTCTCCCCGCCTCCACCTATCATCAGCCCTATAGCCCATCTTTCCCGTCTCCTCTGACAGCTCAGCTCCCCTTTTACTCTATAAGAATTCTTTTGTTTTGAGGCAGGGTCTTGATAAATTGCCCAGGCCGTCCTCAAATACCCAGGCTCAAGTCATCTTGCATCAGCCTCCCCAGCAGCTGGAACCGAAAACATGCACCACAACGCGTGGCCAGAAAGCAACTCTGCAATGAAAACATCCCCTTGAGCTGCCCCAGAGCCCAGCTGCGTCCTGCATCCACACTTACACACTGGCCTTCCTTTCACAGGTGAGAGAATGCGGCACTGGGCTCTGGGCCAGCCTGCTGCTGCTCCTTACCACCAGGGACCTTGCCACCTTCTCTCACCAACACTGTCCCTCCCCACAGGGCAAGCACATTTCCGCCATCCATAAGGAGGACTTTCTTCTAGGGCCTGAGCCCTGCCGGGTCACCACCACTTCTCTTCCTCCTCACATTTCTAAAAGGAGTTGTTCGACTTTGGCTGCCTCTGCTTCCCCTTTCTCCACCCTGACCCTCGATACCACCTCCACATCACCCAAAAGTGTGAATCCTTTATTTCTACCCCGCTCCAAACCTCATCTATGCCCACCCTGTCGACTGTTTTGCTCTGAAATAGTCTCCTCTTTTCAACTCGGAATTGGGTGTAGTACCAAGGACTACTGCAAGTATTTTGTAACAGCTAAAATTTCCAACCTGTATTCATTCAACAAAGCAGAATGAGTGGAATAAGTTGGCTGTAGGACATAGGGGCGTGGTGGCTACACAGTTGGTAGGTAGACTTCTGACCTAGATAGCAATCTGAGACCTGGATCCCTTCCTGGAAACTATGGAGCAGATTGGTGATTCAGCAGGACTGGGAGTATGGAAATAAGTGCAGGATAAAGAGAGCTGTTTATTCTCTCTCTCTCTCTCTCTCTCTCTCTCTCTCTCTCTCCCCCATCTCTCTATCTGTCCGTCTCTGTCTCTGTCTCTGTCTCTCTGTCTCTCTCTCTCTCTCTCTGTAATTAGTACATGGTCTACAGGGTCTCACTATGTAGATTGGACTCAAGTGATTCTCCTGTTTTCAGCCTCCCAAGCATTGGGATTAAAGGCACTCACCACCACGCCCAGTCTCAATCGCTGGCTTAGCTCGACCCGTGGGTAGGGCCAGCACAGCAAGCAGGGGGTCAAACCCCAGCTGCTGCACTCTGCCTAAGCAGGCACTTTCGTCTGCTGAGCTATCTGGCCAGCCCTGTTCTCTTACTTTTAAACAGGTGGAGTAGAAAGTGGATCATGCTATATGGGAATTTGCAGCTAATGCTGGAATTACCTCTCCTGGGATCTAAGAGGTAAAAAAAAACCTAAGCCTGACAGTGCAAGGTTGTAATCCTAACACTCTGGGAGGCTGAGGCAGGGGGGTTGCAAGTCTGAGCCAATTTTGTCAACCTGTTGAGATCCTATCTCAAAATAAAAAATGAAAATAGGGCTGGGGATGGAGCTCCAAGCAAGGTCCTGGATTCAAACCATCCCACCACCATCAAGTACTACTGCAAGTATTCTGTAACAGCTAAAGCTTCCAACCTGTATTCATCAAATAAGGCAGAATCAATTTCTCAGTGTTAAAATAATATTACCTTTTAATTTCAGTGTGAGGCTTGTAAAGCACAATTCAGTACTTGATCATATGGAGGCTACTGTCTATTTCACTTACTCCCGAGTAATAGATCCCATAGCAGACTACAAATGCTTTGAGATAAGGACTCTAACAATATTTTCTCTCCAGTGCTCAGTGTAGGGCCAAAGAGGTTTCTTTAAAAGTCCTATCATTTATCAAACATTTTAACTTTCCAGGTGTAAGTGGATTGTAAATGACTCTTGGATACAATGTATGATGCTAGCTGTGGATGTGTAACAGAGAAAATGTTTCAATTTCTTGCATTTTGGGCTGGGGAGATGGCTCAGTGGAATAAGCGCTTCCCTGGCAAGTGCAAGGGCCTGAGTTCAATCCCCGGTTCCACAAGAAAAAAATAAAATTTCTTGTATTTTATAAGCTGCAGCAGAAGTAAGCACACTTAAATACACAGGGAGGGTTTTTCTTTTTTAATTTTGTGTGTGTGTGTGTGTGGTACCATGGATCGTACTCAGAACCTTGCGCATGCCAGGCAAGCACTTATTCCACTGAGCTATCTCCCCAGCCCCAGGGAGGGTTTAAACGAAGTGAAAGGGTTGCATACCCTCCTCATGTATGTTGTACCCCAATTTAGACACAAAAACCAGAAACCTAGACAATACTCAGAGCTAATTTGAATTCGTAGAAATTCTAAAAATCCTTGTAATTCACCTCCTTAGCCTAAACATTGCACCGGTCCCTGACTGTAGACAGCTGCTTCGTTCGCTAGACCTGAGACCGGCGAGTGACCCACGGAGGAAAATAGTCACATACCGTGTAGTGCCTTTTCCTACTTATTGGTTTTCTCACCAGCTAGAGAGATATTCAAAGGCTGTGTAACTCTCCAATTTTTTTTTCTTGCTCTCTTCTTTCATTCGCCGGGCTGTAAATTTCTGTGTTAGTGCATATTGTTTATAAAGAAAAAATGGATTTCGTTTTGGCATATTTCTCTACGCGCATGATCTACTGGGACTATTTCCTCCTCAATGGCCCTCTCTTCCAGTCTGATTCTTTTTTAAGGGTCATTTTATTTTTAGAGAGCTTTTCACCTTTCTCAGTTATATAGCCAGCTGGGGGCCTCTGGTCAGAAAATCTTTTTTTCTTTTTTAAATAGAGGCTAGACTGCAGCTCCACAACTTGCGGCTGAGAGCTGAACGCAAAAGGCTCCCTAAGTTAATCTACAAAGACCCGGGATCTGGAGTCACGCCTCCTTGGTAAAGACGGAGAAGTTTCCTTAGTCCGGTCCGGAGATCTTCAAGCCTCCACCAGCACGGCGCCAGCTCTGGGTGGGACCTGCAGAACGCTGATGTGCTTGAGATTTGGATCTCTGGCCAGTGCTGGGGTTTTGGAGAGAGAAGGTGGCACCCGGGCAGGATCGGATGTCCCCGGAGGCCGCCACGCCTCCCAAGCGGAGGGGGAGGGACCGGCGCGACCCTGGACCGCCAGGTGAGACCGGGGAGGCCCGCCCCGCGCACCTCGGAAGGGAAGGGGCGGAGCCGCGGGCCTCACCTGCGCCGCGGCGGAAGCGGCCGAGCCGTCCGTGCGCCCCGGCCAGCCGCGGAGACGCGGCCGCGAGCCCGGGCCACCATGACCTGGAGCGCCGCGGCGCGGGGCGCGCACCAGCCCGACAACACCGCCTTCACGCAGCAGCGCCTCCCCGCCTGGCAGCCGCTGCTGTCGGCGGGCATCACGCTGCCGCTCTTCTTCTGCGCCGGCCTGGCCTTCCTCGGGCTGGGCCTGGGGCTGTACTACTCGTCCAACGCCATCCAGGAGCTGGAGCACGACTACACGGGCGACGCGGACGCGGGCAGCTGCGCCGCGTGCGCCGCCCAGGGCCAGGGCCGCGCGCCGCCGCCGCCCTGCTCGTGCTCCTGGCACTTCACGCTGTCCGAGCTCTTCCCGGGGCCGGTGTACCTCTACTACGAGCTGACGGGCTTCTACCAGAACAACCGGCGCTACGGCGTGTCCCGCGACGACGCGCAGCTCAGCGGGCTGGTCAGCGCGCTGCGCCACCCGGCCAACGAGTGCGCCCCCTACCAGTTCTCCGCCGCCGGCCTGCCGGTGGCGCCCTGCGGCGCCGTCGCCAACAGCCTGTTCAACGACACCTTCTCGCTGTGGCACCAGCGCCAATCCGGCGGGCCCTACGTGGAGGTGCCGCTGGACCGCGCGGCCATCGCCTGGTGGACCGACTACCACATCAAGTTCCGCAACCCGCCGCTCGTCAACGGCAGCCTGGCGCTCGCCTTCCGGGGCACCGCGCCGCCCCCCAACTGGCGCCGGCCGGTGTATGAGCTGAGCCCGGATCCAAACAACACCGGCTTCGTCAACCAGGACTTCGTGGTGTGGATGCGCACGGCCGCGCTGCCCACCTTCCGCAAGCTGTACGCGCGCATCCGCCAGGGCAACTACTCGGCCGGCCTGCCCAGCGGCGCGTACCGCGTGGACATCGCCTACAACTACCCGGTGCGCGCCTTCGGCGGCCACAAGCTCCTGGTGTTCAGCAACATCTCATGGATGGGCGGCAAGAACCCGTTCCTGGGCATCGCCTATCTGGTTGTCGGCTCTCTCTGCATCGTGGTGGGCTTCGTCATGCTGGCCGTCTACATTCGCTACCAGGACCAGGACGACGATGAAAACGACGATGAGTGAGGCCAGCTCTGGGAGGGGGGCTTTCAGCTTTGTGTCAGAGGCCTTCAGAGCTCCCCTGGCGCCCCTCTATCACCTTCCGCCCAATATCGAGCTCACCTCACTTTGCCTGCTGTTGTGGATAGAGGGACCAGAGGAAGGGCCTCTGCTCCTTCTCTTGGGCTGCCACTCTCCGGTTGGCCTGGGGGCTTGGGAGGGCGGGGGAAACCTTGCAGATTCTCCATCTACTTTAAGGTGTACCAAGTCGACATGTCTTAACGACTGTAGAATTCCAGCACCCCACCGAACCCTAGAGACTCCCATTCGACGACCCTTACGGGACCAGCGATTGACAGACCCGGGATGTTCTTATTTAATTTCAGGCAGCCGGCGAGTGACGCCCCACTTGAGCAGCAGAGCTTGGCTTGGAGCATGAGCTGTAGAGTCTGGTAGGGGGTTGGACTCGAGAGTGCGGCCCACGGTTAATCAGCAGAAACACAGACAGTGGGGGAGAATATGCTTGTTATCCGTAGATTACCACCAACCCCCCAGCCTTGACTCGCCAAGGCTGGCATGAATCACTCCAAGTCGTGTCTAACAAGATCCTCTGGAGTTTCCTGTATTCCCTCGAATGTGAGGATTGCACTCTTGGCCTGAAGTGGTTACCTGAGTTCAGTAACCTGGGTTCTCTTCTCCGGCTAGTCGTTTGTTCCTAGTGGCCTGCCCATCTCAGGGCGGCCTTAAACAGAGGAAGGTCTCTGTCTGTGGAACAAATGGGGAAAGATACTTTTGCTGGGAAACTTGGCAAATGGATTTGTGCCGGGTGTGTGTCCACTCATCCAGTGTCTGGGTGGAAAACAGACTTGGCCAGAGGCTTCTTAGAAGCTGGAAGATGCCAATAAATGGCTCAGGGAGGATATTCCTACCTTAAAAGCTTCAAGCTGGGAGGAATCTTAGAGGGAAAGCCATCGGCGGCAGTCCATCCTCTGGGTCCTGACAATCATTGTACTGTGTTGTCCAATTGATTTTAATGTTTAAGAGGAAGGCTTCATTCATGGCCTTTCTCTTAGATCTGAAACAGAAGGGGTTGTATTTATGTTCTCAAATGAAGGGGCGGGGGAGATGGCTCAGTGGAATAAGGGCTTCCCTGACAAGCGCTTGGACCTGAGTTCAATCCCTGGTTCCACAAAAAAAAAAAAAAAAAGAAAAAAGAGTCAAATGAAACATGTTTGTTTCTAGTAATCATGTTTATTACATGATTCCTCTAGTAATTACTAGGAATATAATCTTATACGTAAATTAGAATTTTAGGATTATTTGAAATTTTGAGGTAATGGTAAAAACCAGTCAGTTGATTTTATTGACCAACTAGAATCAATAGGTTTGCAAAAAATAGAACAATAGAATATTTTTATACAAAACCCTTTTAAGGTGAAAGAACCTGAAACCATTTTACTAGCTTATTTGCAGGAACCAGAGTTCTTTGGTCATTTGTGGGAATTCTGTAATGCTTGCTAGCTATTACAGTCTTTTCCAGTTACTACTGCTCATTTTCATTAATCTGCAGAGATGCAAGTTCTCGAAGGATGTTTTATTTTTCAGCAGTCTAAACAAATTGTATTGAATAGCTTACATTGATTTTATTAAACTCCCATAATTTTTTCAAAATATGGATGGATGGATAAATGCTTGTCATTGAGGTCTTCCTGGGAATCTTGTAGGAGTGATTTAAGTGAGTCTATTCCATTATTTAGATATAACAAGAAACTAGTGATTGCAACATGTCGGCTTCCAAACTCCTAAATGTGACGTAATTTTATCATCAAATCTAATATTGTGATGTTAGGCTACAAAAGCGTCCTTACATACATTTTGACTGATTGTTATTTATTATGAATATTTGAGCAGCTCACTAGCCCAGCCCTCTCCTGTGTTGGATAAAATGCTTGCTATATTTTCTACCATGTAACTTGAGAGCAGCGTATATTTTGCTAGCATTTTTTAAATAGTCTGTTGCTATAAATTTTCGAATAAGACCCTAAATCCTAAGGTATTCTGATTAAATTAATGACTACCATACCAGACCCTATTTTCTTCAGTTCTAAAAGAGAATAAAGGTTGTGTTTGTCTTTGTTTTATTATCGTGTTTGCTTAGTTCTTTTTGAACTCTGATCTTAAAGGTACAAATGCTACCAGCCGTTTTCCTCACTTGTTAACATAATAGCAGATTTATAATGAGTAAGAAAATTTTTGGAGGGGCCAGGGAGATGGCTCAATAGAATTAGCACTTGCCAAGGGCCTGAGTTCAATCCCCGGTTCTGCCAAAAAAAAAAAAGAAAAATTTTTAGAATAAGACTCAAAATGAGCTCAGCCTTTCATTGTTAATTTCCTAAAACAGAATTTAGACTTATAGCAGCATCAGCATGCATATGAATTAGGTGACCCTCACTATTGCTTGGATTTGATAAATGTGGTTGATATTTTAAAGTTTTCAGTATTGATAGGTATTGAAGAACATGGTCGTAATTCTTGCTTCTGTATATTTTACTCAAATGGTAAACTTCGGTTAGTTGTTGGGTATTTGGAACTACAAAACAGCACAAACTTTTAAAATGAGAACATGGACTATTTTCCTGCAGTGACCCCTGTGGCTTGTAGCATTTTGTCTGGTGTCTCAGGATTCTAGTTGAAATGGAGTCTCATGTTACCTGTACCTGTTCCCCAGCTGGAGGCAGTCGTGTTTTCTAAGCGTGCAGTGGAAAAGACCTAAACTGGAGCCGAGCAGTGGCCTACCTCGTCCAATGAAAGCACAAACAAAAGAGAAAGTAACATGGTCACTGAGAGGTCCCCAACAGTCTGAGAACAAGAAGAGTGTTCCAGGTGTCTCCATGGTCAAGTCAGCCATTAGCTGATGACTCAATTGTTAAAAATTAGAGGGACGATAATAGTCTGGAATTTCCTGTAGAGCAAACGTCAGTGTATAATGTATAGCCGCGGCCTTCTGCCTTTCTTTCAGTCTGTTGCCCTCTTCTGCATGGGTGACCTCAGGAATCCTGAATAATTTCTCCCAGTGAGTTGGTGGGAAAGATACAATCAGTTCCTTACATGTGCCTGGTTACAAGTTAGCTCTTCCTTTTAATGCAAGTAAATTCCCTCTTCCTTTATTTTCCTTTATTTTATTTTATTTATTTTCAAATGTATTTGGTTGTTACAGGGTCTCACTACACAGCTCGGATTTGGGGTGATCCTCCTGCTTTCAGCCTCCCCAAGGCTGGAATTACAGTCATGCACCAGACTCTGACTGGCTCAGCCCACCTGGGGGAGGGAGGACTGATGAAGCTTTTGGGGGCAGGGATCAAACTGAGGTCCCTGTGCTTGCCTAAGCTTACCTAAGCAGACACTTTATTCCACTAAGCTATCTCGCCAGCCCTTTTTTTCATCAGACATTTCTTTGCATCCCAGATGTTTTTTGTACATAAAATACAGCTAGCTGACCTTAGATGGCAAATTAAAAACAAAACTTAACTTTATCTTCTCCCCCAGGAGAATTTCTCTTAATTCCCTCCAACAAAAACAGAGTTATTTTTAAAGAGTTATTAAAAATCCCTTAGCACAAATCTGACGAAACACATTAAGGTCCCAAAGAGATCTTACATAAGAACAGCACTTTGTAAAGATTTTGCAAGATTTTCTAACAATTTTCTGGTTATTGATGCTCTGGATACAGCCCTGGTCCTGAACCTCCCTGATCATGGTAAGGTGCCTGGAGGGAAAAGTGCTCCTCCTGTGGATGGGGTGCTGGAGCACACCATCCTTAATGTACCCGTCCCTGCAGGCTCCCTGAAGGCAGAGAGAAATCCTATTGGGCCATGAAATCCAACACCAACTGTGTAGGGCTTGTGCTGAAGCAGGAGAGGAGGAAAAAGGAAGATGCAGGAGGCATTTTTCTTTGTCGGAGAGGGGCCCAGAAGGCGGGGCACACTAGCAGGGCTCACTGGTGACAAGGCTTTGAGACATCCAGCAAGTGGATGGTAACTCACCTCCTTCTGAACCCCTTCCCTTGTCTTTTTGATCAACCTGTGATTTATCTTTTTCCTTAGAAGCAAAAGGCATTACTGTCAAGACCCTCAGCTAATAGCCTTGCCCTGCTCATTGAGGTCATAACTAAGTTGCCATTAAAGTGGGTGGAACCTTACATTCCTGATGAAAACTGTAAGTCATATGTCATTAATAATGAAACTTTGTTCTTCTAAAAGGCCTTTTGCTCTTGAAAGTCCAAGGCGCTTAGCACCATGTGGTCTCATTCATCTTATCCATCAAAATCTATGCGCTCTTGGAAAGTCATCAAGGCCAAAGAGGTGGAGGTGTATTCCTTTCCATTTTGCCCAGTTTTGTCCAAATCTGATGAAGTGCATGGTATCCTAAGCCCAGCACGGTGACCTGTAATCCCAGCAATTTGAGAGACTGAGACAGAAGAATCAGCACAAGTTCAAGGCCAGCCTGAGAAATTTAGTGGTTTATTAGACCCTGACTCAAAAAAAAAAATTTTTTTTTAGAGGGTACAAGAGGGGGAGAATAGAGGGAAAGGGGACATAAAATAGGATCAAGATGTGTTATGTGCATGTACCAATTTCCTATAATGAATATAATCACTATTGCAAAATTGTACTAATAAAAATAAAACTGAAGAAAAAAATAACAAAAATTTAAATAAAAGGGGGCTGGGCATATAGCCCAGTGGAAAGGCTCTGGATTCAATTCCCAGTACCCTCACTGACCAAGAAAAGTAATGGGATTCTTTCTGTTTGGTATTTTTTTTTAGTCAAGGTCTTACTCAATAGTCCAGGCTGGCCTTAAAGTCACTGTTTAATCCTAAACTGGCCTCAAACTTGCAGATTTTCCTGCTTCAGCTTCCTGAGTGCTGGGATTGCAGGTATGTGCCACCGCTCCCAGTTAAAGTAAATAACACTCTTTGAAAAACCTGAAGCTGCAAGTCTTTCAGGATTAAGGCTTGTGTGTTACTCTAACATAATTTGCAAAAAGCTGAGTCACAGTATTTCTCAAGCTTTTCTTAGGAGAGAAAATTAGCTCACATATTCACATTCATGGCTCTTTAAAAGTATCACTGAGCATCACATACACCGGTGACAATCTTCTCCAACCCATCTTCTCTCCAAGCTTGCAACCTCCCCACGGGCAGGCCCGAGTGTGTGGCAGGCCTCAGGCATCTCGGATGGTCAGTGCTAAACTCCCCTGCTCTTCCTCCACCCCAGCCCCCCTGGTTCACAAGGATCCTTCATGTCCTAAGTCACCCAAGCCAAAACCCAGAACTGCCTGCTTATCATCACCCTTCAATGCTTCCTCCCACACAATTTCTTCCCTCACGCCATGATCTCCAACCCCGGTGCTTCCCTACTCTACAGGCATTCCATTGCCTCACTGGCCCAAGGTTTGGTTGTCTTTTATCAGGACATTGGGGCTTCATAACTGGAGGTCCAGTGGACCCCCCCCCATCACATCCATGTCATAGGACCTCAGAAGCTCACCTTGATTATCCCCCAACTTAAAATCAGTCAGGTCTAAGCACTGTAGGGGCTGCCGCTGGGGGGTAAATGCCTTAGCAGGCTATGCAAGGTTCGGGAGTTGGCCTAACTGAGTCTCCAGGCACATTTCTCCAGCAATGCACCAGACTGCAGCCACACTGCAGAGCTGGAGACGCCTGAGCCCCACGTCCCTGCCTGTCCTAGTCATGTGGTCCCCCTCACCTGAGCTCCAGGGCTACCCCACCCCCTCCATGTTCTGCCCTGTGTGAAATCCTCAAATGTCCCCCTCTCTCACCCATTTCCTGCCTCAGCCTGGTCTTACACCCTGCCTCAGACTTGAGTATTGGCTTTGCCTCCTTATTTGGACTGTTAGTTCCATGGGAGCTGAGATTTTTTTCTCCTTCAGCTTTATCTCTGCCAGGGCCAAGTACCAGCACCCATCTCTGGTGGATCCTCAAGCATTTGCTCAGTGACAGCGACAAGCTGGTGATTCTATTCCTTTCCTCCCACTCAACATTTTGTTTCCTAGAAGATAATTGACCCAATGGAAGTAATTCAGGA